TCCTTTTCTATTGAGTGAATGGTCCAATCCTTTATCAACAACCGCAGCAAGAAGAAGAAGAGCCCCGCCCAACTCGACACAAACACAAGCAACAGCACCAGTACCATTGCCATGCCTGTCTCACACTCCCCGCGGGCGACTGCGGCGACTCTCTCATCCAAGGTCGCCTTTACTCCCAGCCTGACCACAACCATCTCTTCTCCTGACAATCACAACATCTCTATCACTGGTGGCCACCGCAAACGATCAAGCGGATCCGACATCCTCACAACTGCTAACTCGCTCATGAAGAGATCGATTTCGACCCCTGTCATGGCCTCTGCTTCGATGGTCTCCTCAGAACAGGTTGCCGATTTTGAGAGGTTGCGCCAGGGCCAGATCATGATGACGACTTATATCAGTAGTGCCATTCGGGAAAAGAAGCAGGTAATACCGCGCAGGCCCTGTTTTGCCACCAAATTTGAATTTTCTTTATCATTGTGCCTTGGTCCCTTGGGTCCTTGGCTAGCTTTGAAAACCTTTTGTGCTTAATTGCACTCAATTGTGCTCAGTTAATAGCAGTTGCTGATCAACTGCATTGTTGGTCCTATGCGCGATCTAGGGTAACCCAGTGCCGTACGAAGAATTGATTGCACAACTGACCGTATCAAAGCCAGCACCGCTGACTCCTGCCAAAATGCTGCAATGGATCCAAGCGATGTCGCAATGCATATCCTTGCTGGATAAATCTTGCTCAGCACTCATCGATGCGATGCTCCAGATCGATTGGGCTATTCAAGATGACGTTTTTGTGCAGAACTACCTGTCCTTCCTGGGCAATATCGTATCAGCGCATGCGTTTTATGTCGTGCCAATCCAGTCGATGTTGGTCCGGAAGTTCACTACTCGTACGTACCCTTGGCACATTGCAACTGTCACTCCTTGTAAACGACTTTTGACCCGAACTCTGACCGCCTTTTTATATTTTTCTTTGTATGATCCTTACAGGATCCAGGCCAACGACAGATAATATACTCATGATTAGTCGTGAGCAGCAGTTTGAGCGTGTTCACCAGGCTCTCAAGTACATTCTTAGTCTGATCCCCACGGGCCCCACCTCTTTGTTCCCACTGCTCGTTGCAGAGTTCCCTCACAAGCGAGAGTCCATTAGCGCTCATATTATCTTTGTCAAGAATATTCTCCGCGTTTCAGAATATGCACCCGTCCTCCGGGCCCAGATTTTGAGCGTTGTCATTGATCGAATTATTCAGGTCGACGTAAGTAGGCTAAATGATGTTTATTTTTCTTCTAGATCTATGGATACTCTATTTCTCTGTGTTCTGAATGGGGCCTGAATTTATACCTTGATACTTTTTAGGTGGAAATCCAAGTAGAGCTAGAGGAGCTCGAGGACTCGGACACCGAGGTTGTGCACGATTTCGACGCAGGCGACGAGGATGAAGACGGGAATGGTGACGATGAATCGGTCTTGGATGACTATTCGGGATCAGATTCTGACGATTCCGATGCCATGGAGGTAACAGTTCTCAACATCAAGGAAATGACGCAAAAGCTGGATGGCATGTTGTTCTTGGTGTTCTCACACCTGAAATCATATGTTGAGAGCTGCCGCGACCTACCGACATCAGACGGTCAGCCGCCTGTGCCGATTCAGCAGCTGTTCTTTGTACTTCTGGACATTTTCACAAAAACGGTATTGCACACGTTCAAGTCACGGCATACGCAGTTCTTGCATTTCTACTACATCTCCCTGTCGAACTATTTCTCGGACATCTTTCTCGGCACCCTTGGACAGCAAATCCTGGACAAATCACAACCGCAGGTCGCCCGAGTTGCAGCCGCAGCCTATATGTCGTCGTTTGTTGCCCGGGCAAAATATCTCGATGTGCGTCAGGTCGGAATGGTGGTCGATATGCTGGGCGGGTTCGCTCTTGAGACTGTGGAGCGGGTCGATACGGGTTCGAACGTCCTGCCGGATGCGGATCGGTACGCAGTTTTCTACGCAGCCGTACAAGCACTGCTCTACATCTTCTGCTTCCGGTGGAAGGTCCTGGTGATAGACGGAGCAAGCAAGGTCCAGGGCGGCAAGGACGATTTTGATAGCGCAGGCATGATTGTTGGATGCATGGATGGGACGTCAGAACAAAACACTGAAAAGTCTGTAACGCGGCAATGGCATACAGGACTCGCCTGTCTTCAGCGAATCGTGACCAGTCGATTGAACCCATTGAAGGTATGATTTTGCTTTGGTGCTTTAGTGTGAATGCATACCTTGGATCTTGTCTGGTCAAAACGATCTTTATTAATACGAATCGCTGATATTCTTTGTAGATTTGCTCAAGTAATGTGGTTAAGCAGTTTGCTCGGCTCTCCAATGACCTCAACTTTATGTACATCTACCCGATCCTGGAGCAAAATAAGAAGATTTTTATCCCTCGTAACTACAACGCAAATACCGCAGGCAATGGATCCAACGGAGGCGGAGCGAACGGCAACGGACAAGCGAACGGGGGTGTTCTCCCCCATGAACTCGAGACCTTCTTCCCATTCGACCCTTACCGTCTGCGCCAGAGTGCTCCCTTTATGCAAGGAATCTATCAAGAATGGGAGGATGACAGTGGAGACGACGAGGACGAAGATGAGGATGACGACGAATATGACGAGTACGACGAGGAAGAAGCAGAAGGGGCGGAGGGCGATGTGGACCAGGAGGAATATGGGGTTAATATTGTCGGTCGTCGTAGCAGTATCGATGCAGACGAGGACGATACGGGCGAGCAGCTGATGAACAAGTCCATCATGGCGATGAGTATCAGTCCGAGCCCAGCACATTTCCTAGTGCAGAGGATGACATCCATCGCCACCACCACATCAAGGAAGCTGTAAACCATGAATAAATCGTTGGTTTCAGTGTTCAGTGTAAACCATATTTCTCACAGTGTCAAAATGAGTCCTGAGCAACAGTCAGCTCACTTCTTCACTTTTCTTCCAACCAACTGCACACCCATCGACAGCAACTTCCACCATGGCCGACACACAAACAATCACTGACAACGAGCGTTGGGCCGGTATCTACAAGCTGCTCGATCGCACCAGTCTAATTCACCCAGAGTTTGAGCCACAGGAGGAGGTACTTGTCTGCTGCGGATTCGTGCATGAATCCATGGACACGAATGCAGAACTGATGTCAGACCCGAATCAGAACACTGATTCTACGATCCAATCTCTTCCATAACCCACATAGATCAAGGAGTTTATCAAGAGCTGCAAGATTCTTGTCATTGGCGCAGGCGGACTCGGTTGCGAAATCCTCAAGAACCTGGCCCTGTCGGGTTTCTGTGACATTCATGTCATTGACATGGATACTATCGATGTCTCAAATTTGAACCGCCAGTTCCTCTTTCGGTAATCTGCTCGGGGATCATGTTGCTTCTTAGAAGAATACCTTGCCTTGACAACAGTACCTTGCTGACAAACTTTTTTTTGGTGTTCGTTCCATGTTCGTAGACGCGCCGATGTGGGCAAACCCAAGGCTGTAACTGCCGCAGCATTCATCAACAAACGCGTCCAGGGAGTCGATGTCACGCCGTAGGTTTCTTGCCATAGGACATTTCAGGACAGTGTTGGCCCGTTTAGGTTACGTGAACTGAGCAATGCTATCTTTTTTTTTTTTTTTTTTTGCCTTATTAGTCACTACTGTAAGATCCAGGATAAGGACGAGGACTTTTATTCGGAGTTTGCTCTCATCATCTGTGGCCTTGACTCTATTGAGGCCCGGCGCTGGATCAACGCAACGTTAGTTAGCATGCGGGATGAGGACAACCCTGACTCGATCAAGCCCTTGATTGACGGAGGAACGGAAGGATTTAAGGGCCAGGCTCGCGTAATTCTTCCAGGAATTACTTCTTGTTATGAATGCTCAATGGATATGCTGAGCAAACCTACTGGTTTCCCTCTGTGCACCATCGCGAACACGCCTCGCTTACCAGAGCATTGTATTGAGTGGGCTTCTGTCCTTGAATGGCCCAACAAGTACGGAGGTGAGTTTCCCTCTTTGAAGTCAGCTTCTCTCTTATGTCGTGGACAGGCGCCTTTAACTTGAGACGTTCATTGTATTTTTAGAGCGAAAGATGGATACGGACGACCCTAAGGATATTCAGTGGCTGTATGAGGTTGCACTTGCACGCGCGAAGCAGTACAACATCCAGGGGGTTACCTACAGCTTGACACAGGGTGTCGTCAAAAACATTATTCCCGCCATCGCAGCGACTAATGCCATTATTGCTGGTACAGAACTTTTAACTGGCTATAATCTTTTCGTGTCTATGAGGTCCCGGTAACAAGGCAAAACACTGACAGTTGGATATTTCCAACCTTTTAGCATCATGCTGTAACGAAGCGCTCAAGATTGCGACCACATGTGCCAAAAACCTGAACAACTATATGATGTATAGCGGCAACGATAGCGTTTATACCTATACGTTTGAGCATCAACGAAAGGATGACTGTCCTGTGTGCAGTAATTCTGCTACAAGACTAGAATTTAACGGAAGCAAAACCCTCGAGGACCTTATGGACTACCTTAAGGAAAAGCCCGATGTGTAAGTCTTCTGCTGTGCTTGGTTATAGAACAACAGGGTTAAACCATCACCTCAGCATATTTTTAAAACTGAATTCTATACTTTACCAATATGGACGATATAGGCAACTTAAGAAACCTAGCTTTTCATTGGCTGGCAAGCCTCTATACATGCAGGCGCCAAAACCGTTGGAGGAAGCCACACGTCCAAACCTGTTAAAGACACTGAAAGAGCTATTCTCAAGTGGGGACGAAATTACAATCACGGATACGACGCTTCCGTTCAGCATGCAAATCCTTGTTCGCTTCGTCTAGCCAGAAGTACCAAAGCGCCTAAACACAGCGAATGGAGCAATTCGTTAAACGCGTAACTATCAGACGCTATAACCTACAATTTAGGAAAAGATCGTAAAGGAGTATGTATATACACATTGAGTATACACTATGATTTAAAACTGTCTCAATAATCGCCGTACACTCATGATTTGTCTACGTGAACAACAACTGTTTATCAGAATGACTTCAAACTCGGTATGAAGGCGGTATTGCCGATGATGAACATTGCAACGTAGTTTTGTATTGATACCTTGTATTGTTGCTATGCAATCGCAATTCTGTATGGAGCACGGCATTGAGAAGGTTTTGAACCCTATTCACTATATTGTCTTGCTTATATAGAGTGCCTCATTTCTCTGAATCCACCACCGCTCGGTGCCGATTCTTTATTAAGAGCATAGTGTCTCTGAGACTATATGCATTTGTAGATATTTTCAAATATACAGTGCGCAACAAAAAGTTCATATGTTTTAGTAAAATTCGAGTTTTTTCTTCACATCTCCACAGTCGTTCCTTTGATTGCTCCGGAACCTCGGAGAACTATACCCTGCTATTTCTTCCACCGCTATAGAAAATTCGAGAAGGACCTAATGACTCTATGGACTTCTATGTGATTCTTAAGTCTCATATCCATATGTACTTTATTTTTTGTATATACAGTACCGGCCAAAACTGGAACAATATTTTTTATATTTCTACAATTAATTACCTATCTCCTCCAATGGTCATGATATCGCTACAAAAACAAGTGTAACCGTAGTTGCATCACCAACGAATATGTATAAAGAATTATAAGACGATAGCAATGGTGGATACTGAGAAACATCACTCTTGATATTTCTAACCAACCGTTCCAGTTATGGCCGCTCACTTTATTTTCACATAAAAAAATACTCTTTTCAGGAATGCACGCATGATCAATACTTGGTTTGCTTCCCCTTGGCCTTATAGAATGCCTTGAGTCTCCTTAGCATACTCCTGATCAAAGTGCGGCAATAGTCGACTGGAATCCTGTACCACTCTACTGATATTCTTTCCCACAGTTCTTTACAGCTTTTTGGCGGCGTTGGGTACTTGCAGTGTTTCTCAAAAATATTCGACTTTTATTCGACTCGTGCTAGGCCAATGTAAAATTCGAATGAAATTCGAAATTCGATTCGACAGTTACATTGGCCTAGCACGAGTCGAATAAAAGTCGAATATTTTTGAGAAACACTGGGTACTTGGCAAGCTGTTTCTTGAGGTACGCCCACATGTGCTCAATGGGGTTGAGGTCGGGGGACTGCGCTGGCCAGTAGAGAAGCCTTCCCTCGGTTTCTGTAATGCCGGCTGACTCCAAATATGCCTTGGTGACCTTGGCTGTATGCTTGGGATCGTTGTCATGTTGGAAGATGAATTCGTCCTTGGCCATGCCCCACTCTTCAACAGACATGTGTAGATCCTCTTCCAGGATCTGTATATACAGCTCTGAGTCCAGGGTGTCATCAATCAAGGCTATATAGCCAGGTCCATTCCATGACATGCACGACCATACCATAACATTGCCACCGCCAAACTTGACTGTTCCTTGGACTGTGCGACTGGTTAACCTCCCTGGCTGATCATCCCAGACCCATCTCAACCCGTCTGAACAAATCCTGTTGACTTTGGACTCGTCGGACCAAACAACTGAAGCCCAGTCTTCCTCTGCCCACTCTCGATATTTTTTAACAAATTGCAGACGGCCGTGAATATGTGTTTTTTTGAGAGCCGGCCGCCTGACCACCTTTTTGGCGATTAATCCAGCTTCTCTAAGACGCCTCCTGATTTTACGGACGGACACAGGCTGCGGATTGAGTTGGTTGGCTTGGTGAGTGGCCTCAACAGCAGTCTGTATGAGTCCACGTTTTAGGTTCAACTTGACATGTTCCACTGCACTCGCCAGAATCTTTCTGGGTCGACCTCCCTTGTTGACTGGGATGTTCTCCTTGTTGTTGGAAAGGATCCTGCGGACAGTGTTATGGGAGATGTCGAGGCGGAGAGCTGTTTTCCTTGTGGAAAAGCCCTCTTTTGTGAGCCTTATGGCTTCCTTGATGATACATGGGGCTACAGGCTTCATATTCTCTGTGAAGAAGGATTAGGATAGTATTGACAAAATGTGAAAGAAACAGAAAGATAAAATCATCCGTCCCGGAGACCTTGATGAGGAAGTATTGTAGGGGTGTTTTTTGGGGGGTCGGGACAAAACTGGAACAAATGGTTCAGAATGTTGGCGTTACAATTTCTTAACAGTACCATTCAGAATCGAGCTGAGGCTTATGAAACACGTTAATGAATAGCATATCCATTCTCATTCCAAGCTTTGCTGCGATCCAATCATGCAGTCCTGAGATATGTGTGTCGATGCAGAATATATAAAAACATTGTTCCAGTTTTGGCCGGTACTGTATTTGTTTCTCATTGCCTTCGTGTAACGGTCGTACGCGTTGCTAAGAGTCGCCCGATCACTTGCCAAGTATCGATCGATCGTGCAACAGGATTACCACTCGGTTACCAAGCTGCACGGTTACGACACACAGAGCCAGGATGGGAGCCCGGCACCATGACAACACCGCTACGACACTGTACAATAGACCCCAGACATGTATACAGTAAGGTTCAAAGCTGCTACAATGTTCTTACAAAATTCACTTCTCATCATCTCATGGACGATTCTGTCATTCAATCTCTTTCAAACTTCGCATATTTATTGCCACGGCAATATTGAAGATTACCGCAAACTCTGGAATCTATCACTCAAGCAGTTGTTAAGTTATTATTCTTGGCGTATGACGCATCATTGTAGCAGCTTTGAACCTTGCACGCCAAAAATCAAGAACGCACCCTTTTTATTGGATTGCAAGCTGGATTAGTACTTTGTATGCTTGCCTTTCGCTCTATGCACCGCCCGGAGTCGTCTAGGCATGCTTCTGATCAGTT